ACCCATACTAAGCGGGGAAGGGAGACAGTTGTAAGAGAGATTATTTGGAATGAAAATATTGTATTATTTCACAAAAAACTAGGTCAAGGACAATCTGGTTTAAATTGCTGTATACAGAACAAAGCAGTGGATGAAATGGGACTCATAATCTCCTACTTCAACAGTGCAACTGTGCTGGCTCATCTGCATGGATGGAGCCAGGTGAATTTAATAGCAATTCAAGTTCACACTGAGCTTCAGAGTGGAAATTTAAAACCAACCTCCTCCAAAGGCCAGGTGTGTTTAACTTCCAAGGTTGTGGTTTTGAGTCTCTCTCTTTTCAAATTGTGGAAATGTCAAGATCAAACTGAAACAGCTCCAGGATTTTAATTGACAGGGGACAAAGAAGCATCCCACATGTTCAGCATTTTATCTTCAAGAGAACCTACCTGCAAAAACAGAAGAGCTGACCTGTGAGCCCCACCTGAGGCACTACAAAGCCCACAGATCTAGGTTCAGCCTCCACACAGCTCTTTTAAAAGTCTCTATTTGGGGGGCCCATTCACTGATTTGTGCCAGCCCTCATACACATCCACTACTCAGGCAAATATGATCCTCTGACTTGGGGCAGGACAATCCAGCCCAGAGACAAATTCAGATGAAGCAAATGTCAACCTCAGCTGGAGGCAGAGGAGAGTTCGCAGTGAGAAGTTTGGGGCTTTCCCCAGGCCACAAAGAGCACCACACAGATGGCAGGAATTTGGCTGCATCTTCCTATCCTTCTTCTGCAACAAGATCTCCCATGTCATCTTAGCTTTGAGGGACTTCAGTCTGCTCAATGCAGCAGCTGAAGTTTAGCTCAGGGCTACTCACTCCCAGAAGTGTCTCTCCAGCTTTTGTCTCATGCAGCCCTGTCCAAACCACTTCTAGCAGAGAATGTTTGTGGGCTTGTCTGCCAAAGAGATTCAATCCATCCCAAAATGGCAGCACTTTTCCTCCTCACTTGGCAGCCCAAATCCACCAAGTTATTGAAAGTTGCACTGTCAAGAGTTTTCCTGGTTTGAGTTTCGCATGCACTTAGGAAGTGCCTTAACTCAAGCCCTCCATGACCTTCCCACTGATGCTGCTTTCTCCAGAGTAGTTTGTCTCTGGTCTTTGGTTTGGTAACAACCCAAGCTCGCTGCACAACAGCAGGAACTGCAGGGGAGAGTGAGCGCAGAGCCATTCTCTGCCTTGCCAGCATGAAAATACTGCCACTTCTCCACTCTCCATCCAATTCTCAACAGTGCAGCTGATAAAGACATTTAAAGGCATGAAAGGAAATGAAAGCACTCCATCCCACTGGAAGCCACCAGGAGCTGGGTATCAGACCTTCATTTCTGCTTTTGGAAGTCTTCCTCCAGGGCTTTACTGCAGCAGAGAACAACCGATGTGCAATCTATTCACTGTTCTCCCCCACTTATTTCACAGCTTGAAGAGAGACAATAAAACTAGGGACTTGAGCTCAGCCAGTTTTGCCTGATTTGCCAGTTTTTTGTTGCCATTCAGTGTTCCAGCCTCAGGACTTCTGCGAGATTTATTTTTATTTCTATTGTAAGTGTCCCGGCACATAAATGGGAATGGAGAGCCACCCTGCCACCCCGCAGGAGACGGGAATCAGTGCTGGCTGGTGGCAGAGCTCCCACATCAACCCTCACATCTGGACCCTCTAGGAACAGACATTTTAAGAAATATCTGTAAGAAAAAAAGGATTCCATGTATCTGATGGCGTTCTGGTAGATACTGGTTATTTTTTCTTTAATCTTTTCATTTTTGTAGTGCCTGACCTTTTAGCACTGCCTGGGATCACAGAATTGTAAAATGGTTTGGGTTGCAAGGGACCTTAAAGATCATCTAGTTCCAATGCCCCTGACATGGGCAGGGACATCTCCCACTAGATCAGGTTGCTTAAAGCCCCCTCCAACCTGGCCTTGAACACTTCCAAGGAGGGGACAGCCACAGCTTCTCTGGGAAACCTGTTCCAGTGTCTCACCACCATCACAGGGAATAATTTCTTCCTAATCTCTAATCTAAATCTATCCTCTTTCAGCTCGAAACCATTTCCTCTTGTCCTATCATTGCATGCTTTTTAAAAAGTCCCTCCCTAGCTTTCCTGGGTGCTCTAGGCCTCTGATCATCTTCATGGCCCTCCTCTGGACTTGGCCCAACAGTTCCATGTTCTTCTTATATGCTGGCAACTCCAGAACTGGACACAGTACTGGATCCCGCAAGAACATTTTGTCTGACAGTGGAAAGTAGAAGGTGGGCAGAAGGCATGCTTCCTACTCTGAGACCTGTCCTATGTTTCTGTGTGTTTTTTGGAGAGCCTCTTTGGCCAAATTACTCAAATTACCAATTGCTGTCTGGCTTATCCAGGTTGTCTCAGCTTCTGTGGCTGACACTGTCATTCTAGAAGGTGCTGAAAAATTTGCCTGTTTAATTACCTCAGTTTCCCTGTACGTAAAGGAGTGATAAGATCTTCCTCCACATCTTAACTCATTAATATTTGCAAAATTGTTCTGAGATTAGGGGATAGTTGGAACTATTTATAGAAATGCACAATGTCACTTCTATTAGGTGCAAGTTGCCATGCAATTAAAATATACTGAGCATCACAATACGTAGCAAATGGGACATCTTGTTTTACATCAGCCAAGAAATGCTAAGTGGCTTTGTGAGTTCTAGTTGCTTATTTTATTCTTTTTGCCCTGAATAACTCATTAAGGAAATGTACTGGGCCAGATTGTGATGTTTAGCAAGTCATAATCTCTCCTGAAGTTCTCAGCCCACAGAGAAAAGGATGTCCAAGTGAGCAAATCACAGTCCTCTCTCCACAGCTCTGCAAAATGCAGAGCTTTACAATTTGCTCTCAGAAGGATGTGAACGACAGTTACACCTCTTGAAGGAGACTTCTATTTTGTGGGTATATAAAAAGAACAGTCTCTGCTCTCAGTCCTTCCAGAGAAGGAAAACAGAAGACCCTTTGAAACTCAGCTTTCTTCAGCTGCCTTCTACTAAGTGACTAGGGAGAACTTTTATTGGCTCATTCTCCTACAAATGAATTTATTTGATTCCTTCCAAAGGGTTGCATAGAGTCTGTCCTCATTTCTGTCTGGGAGAGCTTTGTGAGAGGTCATTTGGACAAGACTGCTGCAATATTTCATGCCATTTGCAGACAATTTGTAAACCCTTACAGTGTCCCAGAATGATTCATTATTTTTCTAAGAATATGAAGCAGTGTATGTGCATGTGTTTGTGAATATGCATGCTCATGAAGAGGGAAGACAGGCAGCTCCCCTAGGCTCAGAGGCAGGAATAGAGATCAGCCCAGATTTATTCTTTATTGTGTAGGGTTTTTTTGTGGTATTTCACTTCTTTCACCCCACCTCAGTTTAGGTTTCAAGTGAACCCAAATCAGAAGGTAGCAGTTGTATTTGTTTCCATGTCCCAGACTTTGGAAGACCCAGTCTACCATGTCCCAACGGTATAATTCTATGTAAATAATTAATTGTAATGGTCATCACTGGCTTTGGCTTTAACCACCAGGAGAACACCAATCAAAGCCATCTCTCATCCTAGATTACAAGGCCTAAATTTAATCTCTGTTGTTTTCCATATGATTAGTTTTATATCAGCTTTCAAACCAAACAGCATCTTGCTAGTAGTTTCTGGATGAATCAACATTAATCCAAGTGAGTTCAGAACAAATAATCTACAAATCCTAGGTTTTGGAATTATTTCCTAAAAGCTATCACAAATATTTTCCATAAATACCCATCCAATACAAACTAATCCCAAAGGAAAGGCTCATGGGAGCAAAAATCAGAACAACTGATGGAACAAATGTTCAAGATTTGTTTGGGACTATAGTCCAAGCCCTCTTTTGCAGCAGGATAGAAGAAATAAATCCATGTAGGCTTTCCCTAGCTGTACTAAGTCTGGGAATTTTTAGGATTAAGCACCAGAACCTCTTCCCTTTTCACATTATTTAGGTTATTGCTACAGGTGCCAAAAATTATTTGCTCCTTGCCATTACACATAGAGTTGAGTGAGAAATGTTTCTTACTTCCCAGTTAAACAATTAAATGACCATACCAACATGTATTGTGGTGCATGAGAAAAAAACCAAACAAACAGCAATCAAATCCTTTTGTTGCTTTTCATCACTGAAATTATTTGCTGGTAACAGTGAAGTTAACAGGGCATTCCTTGGGAGTGTCTGTCAGGGGTATCAGTAGAGAAGAGACAGTTGGTTTTAACAGGTTTTAAAAGGAGGTATCCAGCCTTCAAGACATTTTCCTCTCTGCCTGTCCCATGATCATCCCTTTGCATACACAATAGTACCTCCCTCAAGAGGTTTTCTTAAGTCTGATTTGTCTGGCTAAGAAAATGTCAGCTGAAAGAATAAATCTGGGGAGGCTGCAAGTACAAACACTCACATAGAAGATTTTTTTTAAAAAAATTATCCTGTTATGTGCTTGTAGAAACCAGACTCCCCACAAGTTTAAGAATCCAAATCCCACATGAAGGGGAGAGAAAGTCACGTGAGAGGTTAAAGAAATCCAAAGCAAACATGAATATTAGATTTGTTGTATGGTCCTGTAAAAAAAGCTGGATAAAGTTACTCTTTGGGTTGGTTCAGTGATCAACATTTCTTGCCATACTGCAGTGACCCTTTTGACTTCAGTTTCACCACTATGCACCAGCCACTACTGTCCCTCCAGCTTATTGTTAGCATCAGTATTAGCTGTTCTAGGAGAACAGGAGATGTGATGAGCTTGTGTGCCTTTAACCCATGCTTCCACAGTGAAAAAAACCCAGAGATTTTATAAGAGAAATAAGACAAACATTACAAAAAATAAAAATAATCCCATACAGTCTAAACAAGCTTTGGGACAGCTGCGCCAAAACAATATTGCAAGCTTTATGTCTTACGGGATAGGAATGAGGCTGATTCCTTTAAAATACATAATTTATCCTACCTTGCTGGCTTTCAGTATCTCAAACATCAGAGGCAACCCTTGTGTGATGAGCTCCTCTGTGTACTCTTCTTCCTGAATGGACTTGAATTCCTTTAGCAAGCACTGAATGAGAGGTCGTCGGTGCTGCTGAAAGGATGTGCGCAAGGACTCCAGCCATGTGTGCAGTGTCCAGGGAACACCTACAGACAGAGGACAGAGCTTGTTCCCAGCTTCAGAAAAGGATACGCCCTTCTGCTTTTTTACCTTCAGTTTTGTTAATCTTAAGATTTTAAGCAAACACTGCCAAATAACCCTAGAAATCCAATTCCTATTTATCCCCAGTTGATAAGGCTGGGGGTTAGCAGGACCTAATGCACAGAGGCTCTCCTCCAAGTGCTAAGAGAAGACTGTGGTCTCTCTACTCATCTAGCCTTCAGCTTCTCTGCTGAGACTGCCAATTTGTGGTAATTGCTGTGGTGCTCTGTGATGCAAAAGCCTTTTGGAAACTAGATTTACACTAGCTCATTTGTTTGAATGTGGCCCTGGAGAGCCATTAAATAGCAAAAACCCCATGATTTTGGTCACTACCCACCTGGATTCAAACTGGTGGTCTTCAAATGAAAACTTTCTTTAAGCACTACCATTTTCCCTAAACAGCACTGGGCAAGTTAAGCAGATCAGCTTTTCCAAGTAGCTTGTCATGGCAAAACCACTCTCCAGGAACTTAAAGGGAACTGCTCCCAAGCACAGAGTGAGACAGCACACAGAGCAATTGTACCTCTGCAGGCATTAGGCTGGAGATGACCCAGTTTCTGCTTTTGCAAAACAGAGTGGGAGGAAATGCAAGCTTGGCATTTGACCACCTAAAGGTTTTTTCTTTCACTTCAGCAAATGTCCAGCACCAGGAAAGCAGCCCCGTTGCTCTCCTCTCCCTCATCAGGTGTTTTGCCTGCTTAGACCACCACATGTCCTGATCCATGGATCCTGGATGCCTCCATGGCTGGAGCTGTGCAGCAGGCAGAGGCTGCTGGGCACCCAGGTCTCTCTCTGGATTCAGATTAGCTCATGAGCCTCAGAAAATAAACGTGTTTTAATGGTGGAGTGCTTTATGGCAGAGTGCAAAAGTAGAGCTCTTAGAGGTGGCCTGCGGGAGGTGGACACTGCCCAGGAGCCCCAGCTAATGCTCTGTCAAGCAGCAGTGAAGACAGCTGCTGGTAGAAACCACTCTGTCCTGCAGAAAAGTGCCAGTGCCCCAGAGTACACTGGGGTACACTGTGCAGCCAAAATGGGCTGGGAAACTGCCGGATCCCCCCTCACCTTCTGCTTCCACAGGGTTTGAGGAAGGTAACTGTGGTCAGTTTAAGCAACAGCCCACTGAGGGACATGTTTCTTAACAGCAGCCCCTCCCCAGCAAGAGAAGAGAGGGTGCCAGGACTGACCTATGCTCCGTATGTCAATGGTGACATCCACGTAGCCGTGCTCTGCGCTGTGGTACATGGCCTCCTTCAGGGCTTTCAGCTTGGCCTTGCTGTTGCGGCTGGCGCAGAGCGGAGCTGCTGCTGAGTCGGGCAAGTCCGTCCCCTCCGCCAGGATCTCCTCCAGTGACAGAATATCGCTCTTCTCCTTCTCCGGCTGAGCAAGCAGCTTACGGAAGACGTTCCTGTAAACCACAGCATGACAGAGAGAGAGGGAAAGAGAGGGCAGGGGAGCAGAATCAGCGGCTAGGCTTTCGCTGTGCTCAGGAGACTTGCTGCGTCATGGCAAACTAGGACACCTATCCAGAGTATTACTCCAATTAATGCCAGAACCAGCTGAGAGCAGACCTGAGGCAGTCCCCACTCCTGCTAGCCCACCAGCCCTGCCTGGGCCACATCTGCAAGACGCTGCTGTCGTGACAGGAACCACACACGTGTCGCACGACTGGTGGCACCTCATGGTAACAGAGACCCATGAGCAAACCATGACTCAAGACCGCTTCCCACAACCAGGGAAAGCTGAGGCGCCTCTGGAGAAGCTCTCAGGACTCACACCGCGGAGGCCACTCGAGAAGGGAGCTGCCTGGAGCTACTAAAAGCACCACCGCTCTATTAACACTCAAAGCAGTCTGGGAAAGCTGGAGCAGCTAAGACATTCAACGAGGCCAGTCAGGGCAGGTTCAAGCACATCTGAGACTACTTTGCAAAGCCACTGATCTGGCTGGGCCATCAAATAGCAAAGCCCAAACTCAGTCTTGGTGCCCTCAGGTTTGTACCAGTGTAACCTCATTGATCTCAATGGAGTCACTCTTGGTTTCTCCAGCTGTGACAAAAACCAGGCTGGCTCCTCTGCCACCTCCTTCATACTCCAAAGTCCTCCCTGCACCTGCTCAGACCCCAGTGAGGGGTGGCAGCGGGGCATGGTGTGTCCTAAACAAATTTGGGGCAGAGAGGAAAGGAGGAGGGGGCGTGAATGAGCACTGTGCAGGTGGGAACACCAGAGCCAGGCCCTACAACATGCACAGCCAGCAGCGAAGCCAAGGGGAGCCCCAGGTCCTCCTCAGGCACATGCTCCCACTCATGCTGGCTGGCAGCAAGGCTGGAGCAGCGGATGTGAGGGTCAATAACCAAACTGTCCTTTTCATCCCAGGGATGTCTTGCAGGCTGCAGATGGGCAGCGTTGTGCAAACCTGCCCTGACATGCCTTCAGCATGTTGTTAGACTGGCAGCTTGTCTCCAAGCAAACAGACGGTAGGTACTGTCTCTAACCTGTATCTATGTTCCTCTGGACGGCTACAATCAGAAAAGTAGGAATGTGAAGATCACAATACTAAATCCATTACACTTCAGTCAGCTCCTGAGTGTTGCAAGATCATGCATGCTAGGTGCCCATTTCATACCTTTTTTTTTTTAATTTGCAGCTTAGATCCAACATTAAGGCACACGGGACTTTACAGTAAACACAGATGCAGGAACTGTTCAATGACAATTGAGGCTGCAACAGTGCAGACAAAATTCACCCCAAACCTGAGAAATACGTCAACAAGAAATTCAGAAGGAATGTCTTTGGCATTCCTTTCAGCCATCATATCAGCTACCATTTAACAACAACCACGTTGCAACACACCACAAGGAGTTCCCTTCATTATTTTTTTCTCATCAGGTATCAAAATGCAGCTTGTACCACCAACTGGTTAAATTCACATGCTAGCAAAAAGCCTTGCTTCTCTGCACAGTTGGCGACATGTTCAATTGCTCATGCAGAACCTTTCACCCGCCTGTTCAAACTGGATGCCCAGGCAAAAAATAAGCACTTGAAGGATGCCACTAGACTTGTTCCCACTCTACCTGTGTCCATGTGCAGCAGCCTGACTGAAAGAGTTCATGTCACCTTGTGGAGTCATGGAAATGCCGTTCCTGTACATTGTTCCTATCATGGGGTCAGCTCCTCGCTCCAACAGCAAACTGACCAGTTCAAAATTTCCTGCAAGTCAAGAGATGTATTTTTACTTATTTTAAAATCCAGTATCTGCTCACCCAAACCACAGATCCCAACTGAAAAATTTATTACAGTGGGAGAAGAAAGTCCTTACCAGCAGCTGCTGCCAACTGTAAAGGAGTTTCAGAGTAATTTTCCTCTCCGTGCTCCAAGGAGCCTTCTACCTTTGCTCCTGCATCCAGCAACAGCTAGAAAGAAAGTTCACCATTTAGAGCACCTGGGGGTATCACAGTTTTCAGAATTCATGAGCAGTGACAAATGAGAGTCTAATGCTTCCTGTTATCTGCAAACTAGATACGATGGAGACAAGCAACATGCAAATTCTGCCCATTTTTTCATAGTGGCAAATTGATTCCTTTTTTCGCTCATTTTACACAGCCAGACACCAGGAGCACTAGTGTCCAACTTCAGAGCCAAAAAAGTGTAAATCAGTGTTTCTGAATGGGAAATGGGGTAAAGTCAGCATTGGAAAGTAATGCACTGAAGATGCAAGTACTGGAAATTTGCCCAACAAGCACCCTTCCTTCACGGTCTTCTAGAAGCCCAGCACCAGCCTAAAATGGATTGGATTGCAGTTGCCTCCATCTGTTTATATAAAGACATGGCCAAAAGAAAGGCCACTTTTAAGAACCAATTGCAGTAATGCATCCAAAAGCTGTGATCGCCATCGGGGACACTTCCACGTAAATAACAACAAAACTGAAAACAAAAGTGGCCAATGAGAGCAGGATGGAGCCTGCACTGCAGCTCCCTCTTGGCCATTTCTGCCTTGAGGCCTTCACAGTTTTGGCCCTTCAATTAAGCGTGCCATAGACACAGCTGTTTTTAAGAAGAAACCTTCTTGACTTCCGAGATGCCAAAGCACAGAACCCACACGTCCCTCGCGACGCCTCGCTGGGGTAAGGAGAGCGAGCGCTTCTCCCCCCTCAGAGCAGCACAAGGGCTGTTGCCCGCCTCTCCCCCACCCAGACAGCAGTTTTGTGTTTGCTAGAATATTACAGTGTAAGAAAGTGTCATGAATGAATAAACAAACATATAAAACAAGTGGTCAGGAAGGAGCACAAGGAGTTGTCAGACTTTCTTTGGTGCAACTTTGCTTTAAATTTCTCCTATTTAAACCTCATATTGGTTAAGGTTTGGATACCGTATTCATTATATAATAGGTCTATTATATATCAGTACACTCTAGAAGAAGCAGAGGTAACCAATATGAGTATGACAAAACTGGTTTGAGATGGATGTATTAGAACTGAAGAGGAGAAACAAAACAATGAGATGCAGGTAGGGAAATACAATAATACCTGAACTACAGGAATATGTCCATGCAACACAGCAAATGTCAGAGCTGTCCAATGGCGGGTCTCAGGGTGGACGGATGGGTATTTATGAGCAGTACTGACAACCTACAAACAAATTAAAGTTATTTTTTTTAAAGAGCTATACGTAATAAAATTCAACCTGCCTGAAAGCCAGGCACGTAAGGGAGTAAGCGGAATAGGAAACCTGGGAAAGGTGCTTTATAAAATGATTGGCTTACATTTTTTTTTCCTGCAAAAATTTTCTCAATATTAAAACTGTTCGTGCTGATTTGACAGCTTGAATAGAGTTCATACCAAATGAAGTCTTTTTACCAACTACTGTAGCTCCGTCTAAACCACTGTCCACCAGATACTCTTTCACAAGGTCAAAACATCCACAGCTGGTTACAGCAGCACACACTGGGGAAGCAGGGACGGATCATGATGCTTACAGCTAAGGATCCCACTGACTTCTCCAGACTGTGTATCAACAGCCCCGGGTCTTGGGATTATTCCAGGCACAAAGAAATTCCTTCCACATAAATTGGTATGACTTTTGTCACTGCCATCATGAAAGACACATCACAAGCCCTATGCTAGAGTTCACAGATGTGCTTCCAGGCTCCTCCTCTCCCACAGAAGGAAAAAAGGCAGTTGAGGAGTGATGGGGCAGCGTGGCATTTCAATGATGCTTTAAGAAAACTCCTTTTTACTGCTGTCTCCTGTCTGAGTCGAGTTAAAAGAGCAGGGTGGTGACAGTTAAAAGAGATGCAAACTACATCCTCAGAAAACAAAATGGTATTTTTCACATTTCTCCTTCCATTTTCTACGCCTCAGTGCCTGGTGCCTCTAATGTAGACATTGGGAAAGATGAATAACCACTCTTTGCTTCAGTTTCCCTGTCTCAAAGATGGGGGTATTAATATTGATGAGGTTCACAGAGATGGTAAAATCTAATGAACATTTGCAATCCGAGCCTGCACACTCAGATGGAGTGTGACACTAAAATTCAAAATCTTATTATTGATCTTCAGAGGAGGACTAAAATCAGAGTAAAAGATGCACCACCTCTCTGTCTCATCAGTCAGCTATGCTTTTGCTACCTTGTCTGAAATACTTTTATCCACGCAGGGGAGCAGGGCCAGTAATCAAGTGCCCAGTTGCATTAGCAGCTCGCATTTACAAGTGCCACATGCAGCATGTTGCTAGAAGCACACGACCAGGCACTCAGTCCCAAGGACAGGGATGAGGGCAAAATCTGAAGAGCTCATGCAGAACCTGCAGCTGCTGGAGGAGCAGATCTGCACCAGCATCTGGCTGTTATCACCCAGATTTGCCAAAGAGCGAGCTTGAAGTACAAGAGGAGAAGGGTACCAGTGTCCGAGTGCAGGTACGGGACTTCTTTGGGTCTGGGTTTGCTCAAAGGGAAGAGGATCGAGCTTGAAGCTTGAGCCTTGGGGTTTGAGGCTGGGGAGCAAGAGCAGTGGAGGGTGAGGATGGGCAGGGTCACAGTTCTGTGAACACATCCAACTCCTCCTCAAGCATGGATTCCCAGCGCTGTTCAGGCCAGCACATGGCAAACGGCAAAGAAAACAAAGTCATTCTAACTCCTTTGCTCCTTTGTTTTTGGTTAGAGTTCTTTCCAGTTGGCATATGTAGTTGGCATAGTATTTGCAGAAGACCTGCAGCTGACTGGGCTTCTAAGGCCTCAGTTGAGATTAGCTGAGTAGCTACAGGTCCCATAGACTCTAGAGCAAATCACAACTTCTCAGCACATCTGGAAATTTTTGCTAAAGATGGGCAATCAAAAAGGGAGGCACCCAGCATTTGAGGCTACTTTTGGAAACATATATATATAGCTGATTTGCAAAGTGAAAGGGGGAAAATGATGCAGGCACCTGACAGAGTATTTATTTTTGTTCATGGTTGATTTGCCTTTTTTTTGGCTGTAATTGGCCAATTTGCACAGTTGGTTGTGGTGTGCACAAATCATCTTATAATTGTACACCATAATTATTCACAGTTCTTGTCCCAGAGTGTTTTCATTTGATTTTAGAGCAAACACTCTACAGAAATGAATCAGGGAGGTTCATACTCCTCATTGGAGCTGTTCTCTCAGATGTCAGCATTTTCAGGAAGACAAAATTCTTTAAATTTGGATTTGGTTCAAGTCTGGAAGATTACTGGAGCAACTGGGAGGACTGTTCCTAATGAAAACTTGTCCTAGGAACCAAAAAATGCCACCTCACCTCTGAGCCACTGGCAGGGTTAAAGGAGAGATCAGTCTCCAGGCCCATCCAGTCTTTGGTCTGTCTATTGAGAGTATTAACAACAGTTGGAGTATTCAATTACTGCCAGCTCTTGCAGGTGGTTTGCTTGAATTTGGGAAGAGGTGAGAGTGGAACTGAAATCATCAGCTGATTTCACATAAGCCACTGAACAGCAATCAGATAGTAATAAGTATCAGTCTCTTACAGGTAACATCCATTTCTACTTTTAAATTAGATTTTTTTAAAGTGCAAAATGTCTGGCTGAAAGCAGTGACTACAATTTATCAGCTCGCTCAAGTCCAAACAGAACAGATGGAACACAGATAAGTGAAGCAGACAGCTTCATTTACTCATGACCTCAACAAATTGAAACTGGAATCATTAACAAATAATTCTTTCACAGATCTTCAAACGGCTCTTTAAAAATGTACATACCTGCACAGAGTCGAACCACAATCTGCTTGGTGGACAGATTGTGTAAATTTGTGATGTGCATTCATCAAAGAGACGTTTATATTCTGGAAGCTTCAAACTCCTAATGCAACAGTTTTTAGCCCGGGGCACTTTGTAAAACAAAACAGTGGAACTTAACACTGCACTTGTGAGCTTGGGCTGCTTAGCTGGAACATCTCAATGCATAGAAATGCTCAAGCTTTGGCAGGTTATCAAACAGGTATTTCTTTCACCCTCTTCATTTTAACTCAGCTGAGATCCAGGGAGTCCTTCCAGTATCATTAGAGCTGTGCTCCGTGCTAATGCTAATGCAGTGTGCAAACACAACTCAATCAGTATTACCTGTGGGGTAAATCTGATGACTTCACCCCTTCTGTGCAGTGAACCCCGATGTCAACCTAATGCAGTTTTATTTCACTATTCAAGTGGTGCTGCCCAGGATCAGGCAAATTTATTTTCTTTTTAATTCTCGGCATTTTATTTCTGCTGCAGTTTCAGGGGTTAGTTTAAGATGTAAACAAATAACAGAACAAAGATACAACCAACAAAAAAGTCCTCACCTCAGCATTCAGATCTGCTCCAGCATCTAGCAGCATCTGCACCATAGCCTCATCACCCCTGACACAAGCATACATCAGTGGAGTCATGCCCTAGTCATTTTTTGGAGTTAAAAAACAAAGGAATTGACACATTTAACACAGAACTCTCTGATTTTTTTTAAACAATTATTAAAGTATATATCATCAAGACTAACAGTATGTATTTAATGAAAGCAATTACCTCTGTTACAGACATGCCCCTCAAACTAGCAAAAGCCAATCACTTTTGTAAAATTTCTGGTTTTGTCATCACTTGTGTTGACTGTTTTTTTTAATGCTATCCTCAGCATGGTGAGGGAAACTAGGCTTGTCAGCCCCACCTCCGTCTTCATATACTAAACTAAGCATCTTTGCCTTTGGGGCCCCAGTAGATAAATGTTTTTATGAAAGCAATTGTACTTCCACTGGCATTTAAAAATACAGTAATTCTATTCAGTTTTCTATTATCACAGTTTCATAAAATGTAACTTTTAAATTACTGAGTCTCAAAAAAACATCCCAAGCTCCTCTTACAATAGATTCTGGTACAGCTTTTTCAACATGAATACAGTAAGGTCTGGGCATGTTAAGGCTTTGTATAGCACTCCCTAGCAAATCAGGGCTTAATTTAAAATGAAGTGTCAGACAGCATTGGTGTAAGTTGCTGTTTCTAGAAAAACATGGCCCTGTTTGGAAGTAAAGTGGATTAAGTAAGTGACTCTTCACTACAGAAACACCGCAGTGCAATTTGTATTAATCTGAAATACCTACAGTGGCTGATCACCATTTCCCTTAAGAGAAGTATTACTGTGGTTGTGGTAATGAGTTCAGATGAAACCATTTAAAAAATCATTAAATCTACCATAAATTACAACTGAAAAAGCTGCTTATTAAATACATTAGGGGATATTGATCAACAGCCACCAGTTGTTTTGCAGTGAATCTACTGCAGCACGCATCTACGTCTGATGCATGTTTCTAGCCTACCTCGAGGTCCCCTGGTAAATATGCTGTCAGATGACAAGCCTGTTTGCTGATTAACCTGAGTGCTGCCATGAAGTTAAATTATTTTCAGAGAAATTGGAGGTGCCAGCATGGCCAAACACAGAGCCATGACACCGCTTGTCTTAACATGAATCCAGCACCAGTGCGTTATTTTTCCTGTTTGCATGCAGGGCTAAAGGTAGGGAGTGCTTCTGTATGGAAGGGCTGCCCTTGTAGAGAAAATTTAAATTAAAAATATAAAGATTTGTCCCAGTAAGGTACTTAAAGTCCCCTCAAAGCACACTGAGTTCACAGGATCAAATCTGCAGTGTGCATATGGAGATACAGAGTAAGGGAACAGGCATTTTGGGCCTCATGCCATTAGTAAGAACAAACAAGTTCATCCCAGGCACGGAGAGTTCTTGGGTGACTTGAAGTTACTTGCAAAGAGAATTTTAAAGTATTTCAGTTACAGTCAGTGGCAAAACATTTCCTTTGGCAGTCAATAAACACTACAGGAAGAAACAGGACCATAAGAATTACAAAAAATGGTGTTTGGGCCTTGAAATGCAGGGACAGGATGGCAGCTTAAAATTAATTACATGTTCCTTACACTATTATTTTAATTTCTGTAGGTGGCATAATTCAATAAGTGACTTTTATGTTTAGCACAAAGAGTCTATCACATCTGAAAAAAGAATTTGAAAGCCTTGTGCTGGGGCTCCCCTCTGCAAGGCACATGGACAGCGACAGCAAAGAATCCCGCTGCAATGTTGGGAGCAAAGGGTCTGCCAGGGGATTTTATTTTGTTATTTTATAAAATCATAGAATGTTTTTGGTTGGAAGGGACCTTAAAGATCATCTAATTCCAACCCCCCTGCCATAGGCAGGGACAACTTGCACTATATCAGGTTGCTTAAAGCCCCATCTAACCTGGCCTTGAACGCTTTCAGGGAAGGGGCAGCCACATCTGCCCTGGGCAGCCTGTGCCAGTGTCTCACCATCTGCACAGTGAAGAATTTCTTCCTAATGTCTAACCTAAATCTACCCTCTTCTGGTTTAAAGCCATTACCCCTTGTCCTTCACTTCAAGCCCTTATAAAAAGTCCCTCCCCAGCTTTCTTGTAGGCCCTCTTCAGCTACTGGAAGGCCACTGACCGAAAGGGGCCCACAATGTCATTCTGCAGTGTTGGGGCTTTAAAGAGTTAAGGAGGTTTCTAACCTCCACTCCTCTTGCACTGCTGTCCAGGGCCAGTCCCCAAGCCTTGCTCAGTCCCCTCCCTTTGCACACAGGAGGAATGGATTTTTAACGAGTCCATCCTTAGTGTTCAACAAACACACAGAGGAACATGGTAGCGACATGTGCAATCAACACAAGGGGCATTTGGTTTTTGGCAAAATAAAAAATGGCTCTTTTTCTTTCAGCCTTGTATCACTTGGAGCTCTGTTTTGCAAGATGTGGGATGTTTGATCCAGTGAAGCGTTTAAGCACAGGCTTAACTTTCACTCAAATAGAATGCAAGCATGTCTTCCGAGTTAAGCATATGATTAGGTACTTTGATCAACCAAACAAGAATGTTCCCAGGTTTCCACCAAGGAAATATGCTGTGAAAAGTTTCCAGGTTCAGACTAACTTAAAATAATAGTAAGTTTTTAAAAGTACCATGTATGAACCTTGGAATGAGGTCTCCAACACTATTTTTTGGGGAGGAGTACTTCTGCCTTCTCAAGCTCTTCTCCAACAAATCCACAATATTGAGACTGAAGCCACTGAATAGCAACATAACTCACATTCCCAGAGAGGCTTTCATCTCAGAGAACCTAAACCCACTTACAACCCAGCTGCTCTCCCAAGTGACTACCTCAAGGGCAACAGTCACCTGCCTCCTGCCAAAGGAGATGTCATAGCACTGGGAACATGCAGTGATACTTTCATCAGGGGCACCAGAAAATTCAGGGGACTCAATTTCAAAAGGAAACAGTAGTATCCATGGCTGTCATTTCCCTCTGGGAAGGGGGAACCACCTTGGTGAGCATCACAGTCCTCTGATGATGAGCATCACAGACTGCTGCCAGTAGGCAGACACAGAGGCAGGTTTGTCCCTGGACACAACCACCAGCCTCATGGAGATGTAACTCCAGAGAAATTCAGGCTCCTCAGTTGGTGGGCGTTGGCCACAATGACTAATGGAGTCATAACACTGGAGAAAGACTTTCACATCTGGAAGATCAGTACTAACTGGGCTCCACTCAAGTAAAGACTGCCAATGATGAACCAGGGTTTGGTGGTACATACGACATGCATTACAGACCCCAGGGCGGTGTTCAGTGGAAGGATGTTCAGTCACCAAGCCCTGCCCCTCACAGCTCTTCATGGCACTGAAGCAATTTTAAACATTCACATCAACACTAAGCTCTCTTGGGATCTCTTTCGGGCTTCAGCCTGCACTGTTAAGAAGACTTAAGGGGACACATTTGAGTTACCTCAATACCAACAAAAACTGGAAAAGACCACAAGTTGATGTAGATGTTTGCCTGGCCATGCCAGGTAACGAAGGGAAATCATTAAGATCCTGTGTATGTTTAGCTGAAAGCTGGAGCTCATATTCTAGGATAAGCAGGCAAACCTCTCACATTTCACAGTTGCTTCTTCACGTTTCTATCTTATTACCTGTTCACTCATGCTGTTAATCCCATCCGGCCCCAGCAAGGATATGGCTTGTTTAACCAGATCCGTTCGGCCACAGTTGAGCATCCGGAACCCCAGGTCCTGCTTGAACTTCGCTTCAGTAGCCACTGCATCCAGCTTCCGAGACGCACAAAAACAGTCGTCGATTCTGTGGATGTGAGACATAAACTCCCTCAGAGGACACTCAGAGGACAGACCTCACTGTCCCTAGGAAAATAATACTTTGCCCTCTTTGAAGGCCACGCACATACTCATTCTCCTTTGACCTGCATGTTTCTAGGGAAGTGCTGAATGGGGAATGCTAATGCAAGCTAATGGAGACTGTCCTTGGTCTATCTTTCATGGGACAAGTGATACATTTGATAAAAAAATTGTGCAAAACCCCACAGATTTCACTTGATTTTGTTTCCCTATTTAAGCAATGCACAACACATTCTCACCCCAAGTCATTTCTTCACATGGTAAGGTGATCCAGCCTCCTTGCTTTCTGAAAGGTTTCAGTGGCTACATTAAGCTTTGAACTTACAATGTATAATCATTGACAACACAAAAAAGGAAAAATAATGACACTCCAAACGCCTTCAAGGATCTTACCAGCTCAGCCCCAGTAACAGGGAAGCCTTTTTGGAGCAGAAAGCGCATAGAACAATCACAGACTGGCTGAGGCTGGAAGGGACCTCTGGATGTTATTTGGTCCAACCCTCCTGCTCAAGCAGGGCCACCAGTAGACAAGCAGCACACCATGGGTTCAGGGAAGAGAAGGTACTCTTGCCAAGTAATCATGGCAAAACACCACAAATCCTTGTTGGCTGTGTACAACAGCTGTGATGTCATTCTTTTAAGGTCTTATTCAACAGATCCCCAAACTATAAACTGCTCAAGATACCAATTTCAAATGGAAGGTGGGCTAGGAGTTATTCAGCCAGGATGTAAATCTACAGCTCCAGAGAGAGCCAGGCAATTCCGATCTGATGTTTATCCAACTTGGTTTCATCTTATGAAAAGACAGATTTGCTTTTCTTTCATGCTGAGGAGTGTCTGGGACAGAGGGTGGAGTCCAAATCCACAGTGCTTTTGGTGTGAATCTGGACAAAGGACTGTTGGGAAAACATTGCTTTCATTCTCCAAAAATGCTAGGTCAGAAAACAAGGGGCTACTTATTAATGAAGAACAAGATACAGATCAAAAGTGAAAGTCAAACATACATCCAAGATTTGGTTTCCATTTGATATGTTAAAAAATGCAGCAAACCAAAGGAAAAAATACAAACAGCCTGTCATTATCATTTAAATTTCATCTTCAAAGTGCTTTATCAGAGCTTTATAAAATATATAACACTGCTTAATATTTAACAGCAATATGCAACAAACATGCTGTTTATAGAGAAGCTGTGGTATGTAGTAATAGCTACCACTCTTCCTTTTTCAGCAGAGGAAGGAAAGTGTGATGGAAAATACCCAGTATTTTGATGAAAGCTTCTGCAGGACATAGTACTGAAACAGGCATCTGAGCTCAAGCTTGCTCTCTGCCGTGCTGGGCCACAACGGGTTTGGAAGACAATGGATATTTAGTTCATATCCATTCTAATGGTCATTTTGGGTTTTGACTGCTAAAAAGTTTATGTCCTAAGAATGCAAACAAGGTAATTCTGGAGTATCATCACTCAGGGAAACAAGGATGACACTTCATCACAATAGGCTGTTGCAAGATTAATGCATAACACTTGGTCACAATAAATATACCGTAATGGCAATAACAGATTCTGCACCAGTAACATGCCTAAAAGAGTAATGAAGAAAGCAATGCATAGCAAGGCCAGGTTTTCTGCAGTACGTCTGAGTGAGTTAAAGTAAAAAGAAAACCAGGACAAATATGCAGGGCTGAGCTCAATGACACCAGGATCCCCAGGAGCAATTGCAGCTTGCCACGTTCACACCTCATGGCACATTGCTGACAGAAGAGCTACAGCAACATTTGGTACTTGCTACCCCCATAGCATGAGATGCTAGAGATCATCTGTATCCTCCTTTAACATAAAGCATAGATAAAGCATGCTCAGAAGTTAGGTGCTGGGGGTTTTGGTGCACAGAGAGAAAATGAGTCTGGATCTCCCAGCTGCTGCTGGCCATTTCCAGATGACTGGGCTGAGAACGACGTGGTTCCTTGGTGAAGTGCAGCTATGGAAAGATCCAGACAGCCTCTGAGGACTGCAGAGGTGTCTGCCACTATGAATCACCGCTTGTGTTAAGCCACTGCTTCATCATTTCTACCGAGGAATGTAACATACACTCTGAATAAAATGGGTCAAACTCACTGCTGGCAGAATCAGGCAGAGTTGACGTCAGCCCAGCTCAGTGCATGCACAACACTAACTGATGATGTCTTCTTTAAACAAAAGCAGCTTCTGACCTGGGTTGCACACCCACACAATGAAGGAATGAGGAACAAGGACCTATCTCACCTATCCTGTATGGGCTGTTTTTATCTCTACTCTGGCATGGCTTCAAAAATTACTTTGTCATAAGCAACTCCATCATGAGTTAGCTCCAGTCCCATAAAAGCACCTGCTAACAGTCAAGTGGACTCATGAATTACTGCTGATATTGGGTATGAGCAAATTAGTACTCCTCAATCAACTAGGTGTGGATAAGGGTCTTGGTCCAGGTGCTCCAGGATGCTACTGCTGTACAAACACTGCAACAATAACACAGATGCAGAGGAGCCCGGGGCTGCATGGATGCTAGGACACCTGCACTGACAAAATGTCATCCACACCAAGTACCACAAAGCAAGAAACCACAACTTAGTACCACTACCAGTGGCTCACTGCCTTCTTGTACCCCAGAAAAAAACCCACCGTGGGTGAGCTACAGCCCTGATTTATGTGACACAGCAAAGGAAACTATACAGCAGAAATTGACACAGACCATTGCTGTGTCATATGTTAACTAATAAAATGGATAGTGATCAAATTGGGGAGTTTAATAAGAGCACAACACAAGGGAGAAGAACAGGGATGCATCAGAAGAGAAAGTATAGCAACGTCTCAAAAAGCCAGAGAGATGAAGGAGTTAAGGGAAAGGAAATTTAACATGTGCAGATAAAAAGCAGTGAAAAGACACATCAAAAACGATCAGGAACTACAAGTACCGAATAGGAGAACACAGCATCACTTTTAACCAACTGAGAAGACAGCACAGCAGACAGACCAAGCAGTTGCACTTCAAAATGAAAATGGAAAGATTAAAAAAAAAGCAACCCGAATCCATCAAAATCAACCCTAAGCCAACACAGCACTGCATTTGCTTCCAAGTCCTCTTTCATACCATTAATTGCATAATGTTGATTCCAACAGGAGCACAGGGTCTCTGCTCCATATTACACTGTGTAAGGGGATGCTGCTCCATCACAGGCACCAGCCAGAATCACAAATATAAAAAAGGAAGAAGGGAATAAGCACCCAGGCCTGAATCACTGAAGACTTCTTAACTTTGTACTGCAACAAATACACTGACAAGCTATGAAGAGGTGGGAAGAAGTTTGAAAAACAAGGTTGATGAGGAATGGTTAAATCAGCTAAATATACAGGGTCGCCTTTTAGAGTTGTGAAGCTGTGCCTGAAAAGCAATGAAAGACAGTGTAAGAGCAAACAGAGCTGGAAACCTCAGCTGCACAGTCAGTTCATGGCCCTTTTGCCAAAAAGTCTTTGTGATTGGTTCTAGTGCACAGCAGGCTGTCACTAGACACTTGGAGGGGATGGCCCCTCCAAGGCCATGTTGGTTTGCTGCCAGATTCTGCCAGTTGCCAGCACTCACACAGGTCATCCTCTCCCCAAGACCTCACCCTGCAGAAAGGTGCTTTTTTCATTGAAGGGACAGGGAAGGCTGACAGGAGAAGAGTATGAGGGGCCAACACTCTTCTCTCCTCCTCTCCCTAGGGACTATCTCAGGACAACAGGACATCACTACCTCAGGTGCTGGCTCAGGTAAACTTTGAGGTCCTTCAGAGATGATACAGCGACAAAGGTAGGTCTGACAATCATCCTTTGAGGGTGATAACCTCTCTCCAAAGGCTGAGCCCATTTCAGATTCCTCAATTCAGCCACGTATGGGGCTCAGCAGGCTCCTTGGCACCACCACTGCTGTGCACATGCTTCCACTCCCAAAACTGAGAATATGCTTGAATTAATAACACATATAGATCATAGCGCCCGTGCTCAACAGCAAATCCACCCCTCTAATTAAAAGGTTCAATCACACAGCCTGTAGACTCCCGAACTGGTCCCTCCCTACCTTGAATCAAGAAAACAATTGCTTTTATAAGTAAAAGGAAAATTAGAAACAGGTGAAATATTCTTTACTTTGTATTTGTAGCAAAGCTGTGAACACTTTTTTTAAACTTATAATGCAATGCAATTTTCTCCAAGTCCTCTTTTAATTCCTCATAGATATTGCTTCTACAGCAGTTATCTTCAAGATCATTACAGTGTTGCCACTGCACATAATTAACTTTACTGTGACTTTATATGGGTGATGCCATGGTAACATTAATTATTTGCAAATGGTCACTGTCAAATGCTGCACAGTGACCATGACATTCTATCATACCCCAAAATACTCAAGGCTCTGAAAGGAGTCAAAGATAATCTTTATTTATAATGGGTCCTAGCAGTACAGCAAATTATTTTTATCTTTTCCCAAACTCACATTATGAAAACATAATGCAGCACTTCTTCAACAATGGTTTAAATGCAAGAATTTTTCTTTTTGTTTTTCATTTTTACTCAGACTGGCTTAGATGGGGTCTGTGAGAATCTTTAGTCATGGATTGAATACATTGGGGAAAATGGATGATTCAAAGGCAAAGTGTTTCCATCGTAACTGGTAGACACAGCAGCTCTCTTATTGCATAGCTTTTTAATTATTTGTTCTTTAGGAGGGGATTATTGATCTAGTCAGTAGTGGACAGTTTGAAAACAAAACAAAAAAACAAAACAAACCAAACAAAAAAGAAAACAAAATTTAAAAATGCACTGCTTTGTAAATGTTACCAAAAAGGGAGTAGGAACATCTTAATCATGTTCTAAGCTCTATGTGCTGGCATAGCAAGCTAGTAGTAGTTACGTCTAAAAGAAATGGAGTGGAGACT